ACAGGAAGAACTGTGACGGATGGACCTCATCTGTCAAGCTCTCTGAAATAGTATGCCAGTTAGATTTCTGTGCCTGACCGCATAGACTAGGTAGCCCATCCATTCTCACTGTCTTGCATATGTGGCTGCTGGGCCTGATGTCCATGGACTGTCCAAAGGGAATTGCTGCTGTTCTTTGCAAAGCTGTCAATAGCAACATGAACTTCCCTGGTAATCCAGGAGATGGGCAAAGTGGCACATTCACTCTGGCTCCTTAAGGTTTTGCTGTGTCCCCAGAAACCACCACAATTTGAGATTCCTCAGGAGGTTTTTTAGTTTGGCCCTAACCTGCAGTGACATCTGAGCCCATGTTGTTTGTTTTGAGGCAGGGTCTCACTCCCTCACCTGCCCAGGCTACAGTGCAGTGGTGTCATCATAGCTCATTGCAACCGTGAACTCCTGGGCTCAAGTGATCCTCCTGCCTCAGACTCCCTAGTAGCTGGGACTATAAGTGTGCACCACCATGCCCAGCTAATTTTTTATAGAGACAGTGTCTTGCTTTTGCTCAGGCTTGTCTCAATCTCCTGGCCTCAAGTGATCCGCCCGCCTCGGCCTCCCAAAGTGCTAGGATTACAGGCACGCGCCACCACGCCTGGCCTGAACCCAGTGTTCTTAACTGCTAAATGCCAGACCGGTTCTGAAGTGAGGCCCCCTATTTTTAAACCAAAACTCAAGTCTCTGAAAAAAAAATCAGGATGTGAATTTATTTACATCAAAGGCCTTACAAAGATGTAAGAGTCATTTTTGGGCACATTTAACAAAATGTATTGATTCAAAATAAAATTCGAATTGTCCTAGGAAACTCAGGACCCTTAGTCACACTGGGCTCTCTATAGCAGTCCTGTAGGGCAGACCAGAACCCAAAGCTTCAGCATGCCTCAGGGGAGCATCCAAGCCCAGCCATCAGATAACTTCAGGGCAAACCTCAGTCCATCTGAACTGCTTCTAGTTCATCCAAGAACCGTCGGCACTTCCCCATAAGTATTTTGATGGCTTCGCTTACCAGCACGTCCGGTGGCAACACGCCCGTTGACTCAACAGAGACTGGGAATCAAAGAGACACTTTTAGCCTAGGCAGGGCTTACATTTAAAAGGCTTCTGTTATAGGTTATCCCTATATACCACATCAGGACTCTGAGAGGAAGCTACAGCACCAAAGAGCACCTACCCACCCCACCACCCACCACTTTGCCACTTCATACTCACAGATATAATGATCCCGAACCCGGGCGAGCTGTACAACCTTCTTTAGCTTCTCATTCCGGAAAATTTCCCTGCTGAAGGTATCTAGCCGGGGATTGGCAATTCTGGCCACCTTTTTACCTAATGAAAACAAACTATATTATACTTTGATTTTTGGAGCCCAAAGTTTTTATATATTCTTCTCTGTCACCTTCAAAGAAAATGCACTTTAGGACCTGACAGGAACAATATCCCAAATACCATACCTTGGATTTCTTGCACCTCAATAACACCAGGTGAGAAGCACCGGCTTAACTCCTCAGCTGCTTCCCCTTCCACAGGCTTAAGCAGGGTGATGTCTGGCAGGAGCCTGTAACTGGCTGTTGCCACTGGTGAAAACTTAGCATGATCTTTGCCTGGAGGGAAAAGGGCTATCAACCTGTAGGAAACCCTTCACTCTCCTAAGCCACTAACAGCAAAAGCACAAGCCTGATGGTTGTCTGCCTGTCAACAGAGTTCTTTAGTCCCACCTTACCCCACTGCAGTCTAACTACCTCCCTGCCCAGAGCAGGCCTCAGGGTTCTCACCAATGCCCTTGACACAGTGCATGAGCAGGTCAATCTCCTGGCCAGGCCGCAGCTGAGCAATGAGGATATCATCGTGCACTGGTCGGATAGTGCCCTCTGGAAAGAGGTCAGCCTGGTTCCCCAGGGGGACCCATGTCATGTGCCTGGTGTACACTGGAGGAAAAACATGTCAGAAGACCTCCATCTATAACACTAGCACCCACCAGGAGGTCGGCCCTCTTCCACATCCTACCACTACTCACCTTTGTGGTTCACATAAAGTTCGTTGGGGTCAGAGGAATCTTTAGCAGCGTGGGGGTTCCGAGTACACCTGACTTGCAGACGAAACTGCAGAGTATCTATCTCCGTGCCTTCCTCATCTCCTGCACAAACGGAGGGACCTCTTAACACTAGTGAACATTGGCATGCCAGGCACAATGCTGAATGCTTTACGTACATTTTCCATTTAATCCTCTTGACAAACTTCGGAAGGCAAGGAAAAATGTTCTTACAGATGAAAACACTGATGCATCAAAAGATGAGTAACTTGCCTAAGGACACACAGTCAATCCAGGATTTGAACCCAGGGAGTCCATTTCCTTCAAAATTTCATTTTCTCAGACCCTCACCTTGGTTCCGATATTCAAACAGACGGGGATCAGCGTGAATGGGAATGAGCCCCAGGCGATGAGCAAGGATCTCATCCTGGACGATGGATGTGTTGTTATACACCAGGACCTTCTCCACAGCCATAGTTGGCACCTGCCCAAGGAAAAGAATCAGCCATCTGCAAAAACTCAGTAGGCTCCCCGCCTACCCCCCAACCTCCTGAGATAGGGCAATTATCTCTTCCTAGAATGCTTAATGAAAAGTTTGCAAAAGAATGAGGTGGTGAAATCATCAGCAAAATTCCAGGAAAAATAAGAAGGACAGCTTGGGGCACTTAATTCTACAAGTGAGGTGATGACAGTTTCCCACGTAACTCCAGCCTTGCCACCATGCCTGCCTTTACCTCAGCTAATAGAATCCTCCGGAAAGCATTGGCAATGGCTGCATCGATTCCCACCATGTCAAACTCTAATGAGTTTTCATCCATGTGTACTACATCCACACGAAAATTCTAGAAAGACAAGAAAAACATGAAGTAAAGCCTAATCTCTGTGATCAATATCTCTCCACACCTCTCCACTGGTTATTTCCCTAAACTATTAGCATAATCTCATCCAGAAACCTCCCTTTGCCCAGAAGTCCCTCTATTAGATATTTGTTTTCCCACCGTGATTTCTTTAGTTTATTGAAAAATCTCCATTTTTGTCTTCCATTCATTAAAACCCTATGCAATATGGCTTCTAACCAACCATCTGCAGACGCTATTCTATAAAGAACAAACTTCCATACTGCTTAGTCCAGTTGACAATACTCAATCCTTATCTTACTAGACTTCTCTGCTATACTTGGGATTGTTGATAAAAATTCCTCCTTTTCAAGCTATTCCCTTGCTTTCTTAGCACCAGTCTTCTCTGATGATTCCTCCACATCTTCTACCCACCCCCTAATTATTATTTGCCAGGTTCTTGTCTCTCTCCCAGGTGACTTCAATCACTCATGGTTTTAGCAACTACCTGTACTGACAACTTCCAAAATTTTATCTCACTTCTGATCTCATTTCAAACATAACCTACCAGTCTGCTAGATCTGTCCACATGCAGGAAACTGAATGCATCATCATTCCTGTTCCCCAGACCGATTTCTCCTCATCAGGGAATGACACCACGATCCATCAAAGCAGTTTCCCAAGCCGAAAGGTCATTTTACACGCTCCCCCACATCCCTTATCAAAACAATCACAAATTTACCTTCTGTCACTCCTTTGCTCTATTTCTACCATTATAGTCTTAGTTCATGCCTCATACCTTATACAAGGCATGAACTTATAAGGTCCCTTACACAATCTAACAGGTCTACCTGCCCGATGTGATCCTCCTCAAATACTCTCTCCCAACCACCAGGGTTGAAAATCTGATCGTGTCTGCTTAAGAACTCTTCAGTTTCCTTGGGTTTTTTTTTTGTTTTTTTTTTTTTGAGACAGAGTCTCACTGTGTTGCCCGGGATAGAGTGGCATGGCGTCATCCTAGCTCACAGCAACCTCAAACTCCTGGGCTCAAGCGATCCTCCTGCCTCAGCCTCCCGAGCAGCTGGGACTACAGGCATGCGCCACCATGCCCGGCTAATTTTTTCTATATATTTTTAGTTGTCCGATTAATTTCTTTCTAATTTTAGTAGAGACGGGGTCTTGCTCTTGCTCTGGCTGGTTTCGAACTCCTGAGCTCAAACACTCGCCCCCTCGGCCTCCCAGAGAGCTAGGATTACAGGCTGAGCCACCGTGCCCAGCCAGGTTCCTTGGTTTTTGTTGTTGTTAAGAGTCTCACTCTGTGCCCTGAGTAGAGTGCAGTGGCGTCACTGTAGCTCACTGCGACCTTCAACTCTGGCTCTAAGCCATCCTTCTGCCTCAGCCTCCCGGGTAGCTGGGACTGCAGGCGCTTGCCACAATGTCCCACTGGTTTCTACTTTTTGGTAGAGACAGGGTCTCACTCTTGCTCAGGCTAGTCTCAGACTCTGGAGCTCACCCAATTCTCTCGCCTCAGCCTTCCACAGTGCCTAGGATGACAGGCGTGAGCCCCTGCCTGCGCCTGTTTAAAACTTCAAAAGCTATCACCTGCAGTGCCCAAGACCCACTCCAATCTTGCCTACCACTAGTGGCGACCAACTTAACATGCTTGCAGTGCGGATATTCTCAGAGCACGCTTCACACAAGTCTTTATAATTAAGCTCCTGTTCTTAGTCCCTCCTCACCATTCACTGTTCTTCAAGGCTCAATTCGGATGTCACCTGCTTATGAAACCTTACATACGCACCTCTCTGCCCTACTTCCTAGTCTTAGCGTGATGCCCCCTATCCCATCCCCCGCCGTCCTTATCGCTATCGACCACCTTTACCACATTACATTGGAATATCTGTTTATGCACACTATTCCTCAACAAGACCGAACACATTTTTTTCTTTTTTCTTTTAATAAAGGAGAAGGAAGAAAGGCAGGCAGACAAGTAGGCCAGTCCACTCCCACCCTCCCCACCCCCCACAAGACTGAACATCTTGTTCGCAGAACAGGTCAGAAATCGTGTCTAATTTGGCCTAGCACATTGCTCAATGAACTTTTTATGAACGGAGGGAACCCCAAGAGCAGATTCTGAGGCCCAAGCTCCTCATATCACACGGTCTGGCCCTCATACCCTCTCCGGACACCTCCAGCCCCACCCACCTTCTCGAAGCGGTCCTGGTCCCAAGCATCATCATAACCGGAATAGTTACCAGGAAAGTCAGTGGTATGAACCTAGAGCAGAGAAACGAGTCTGTCCACGAACAGCAGCAAGCCCAAAACAGTCCCCATTCAGATCCCAACCCATCCCTGTTCCGCTCTCACTCCTCCTCCTGAGCTCAAGGCACAAGTCTTACTTACATTGCGGACTCCAAACTCCCCTAGAACCACGCGATTTCGCATCTCGTCCACCGCCTGAGCCGCAGCCATCTTCAACTTGTCCACGAGACCACGGCCTCAAACTAGCGCGTGCGTTCTAGTAGCCTTCCTCCGTCTCCACGGCAACGCACCGCCTTCTGTGATCTTAAATATCGCGAGACTTTTCCCTGCCCGGTCCACGTCTCCAGCTTCCGGAAGTCAGTTTGGGCCAAACATCCGGGTTTCTTTTTTTTTAATGTTCCGGCTGGTGCCACCTCTCTTTCTTCTCCTGGGACGTCTCCCTCCCTGAGGCCCACATCTCATCCACTTCTTTGAGCGCGGGGCTAGCGCGGGCTTCAGCGACGGGAGCTCTCGAGGGACATGGCAACTACGGCTGCGCCGACCGGCGGCGCCCGAAACGGGGCTGGTCCGGAATGGGGAGGGTTCGAAGAAAACATCCAGGTAATAGCCCCAAGGCTTCGGTTGCCAGCAACCCCAGGGCCGGCGGCCGTCTTGAAGTACCGTGGGGATTCTCCCTCGGGGCCTGGAAATCTGCTTAATTTGCAACATTCTTTCACTCCTTTGGGTCATCGTGCACACGAAAGTCAGTGGGATTAGTGCTGACCTGAAAGAGCCAGACTAGTACTTTGGCCTGAGGGTCTGGGTTTCTGGGCCCTCCCGAAGCGTTAGGAAGAGCGTGCTCTTGCTTTCCGAATGGTCTGGGTCAGGCATGGTGAGACTGGGGCTGGCAGAGATTCACTGGCACTTGCTAATGTATGCTGTGCAGATAGTCTTGTTTGGGACTTGGGAAAGAAAGGAAAGGGGCACTTTTGCAGCCTTTTGAGGCTTTGATAGGGAAGGTAGAAGAAAGACGTGAATGGAAGACTGCTAGGTTTCCCAGGCTAGAAGAGAGAGCCAAAGCTAGCAACTGAGGGTTCTGGGAACAAATGAAGGGTAACAGAGTGGCATGATCTGTAGTGATTCCAAGCCATATCCTCAGCAGTGGAAGAACAAAGCCCCAAACCCTGGGATGAGCAGAGGAGGACTTAACGGATGGAACAGAAAGGTCCTGCACTCTAGGAGCCATTGTCTTCACAGGGTGGGGGCTCAGCTGTGATTGACATGGAGAACATGGATGATACCTCGGGCTCCAGCTTTGAGGATATGGGTGAGTTGCATCAGCGCCTGCGGGAGGAAGAAGTAGACGCTGATGCAGCCGCTGCTGAAGAAGAAGATGGGGAGTTCCTGGGCATGAAGGGCTTTAAGGGACAGCTGAGCCGGCAGGTGGCTGATCAGGTAAGCAAGATTGAATCCCCAGCAGGTGGAAAAGTATACCTAGGCATGCCCCATGTTATGGAGTTGGTGTTGGTGATGTTCAGCCCAGATTGTCCAGTTAGAACCATGTAGAAATCCAGCGCAAAATAGGCAACAGGGTCTAGAGCCGAGAGTCCTGCAATACCCATCCCCATCTTCCTTACTTCAGATGTGGCAGGCAGGGAAGAGACAAGCTTCCAGGGCCTTCAGCTTGTACGCCAACATCGACATCCTGAGACCCTACTTTGATGTGGAACCTGCCCAGGTGCGAAGCAGGTGAGGATCCTTCTGAAGAAGCTTCCCTCCTAACACCTAGTCCTTCCTTTAAACCACAGCCAGATTTCAAGCTTTAGGCTCTGTTGGGCTCCCCTTCTTCATGACTCTACCACCCCTCATCACTGCAACTGTCACTGAATACAAATGGCTATAACACATCACCTTGCTCCTCTTTTCCCTCAAAATTTAGCTCAAATGTCACTTCCTTTGTTCCATATTCCTTTAACCCCATTCCTAGTTTGTTCTTTCCTGGTGCTCCTACAGAACTCCACGCTTTTCCTCTAATAGATAGCACTTCAGCAGGGCTATATACCTCCTTATTCCTGGATCTGTCCCCCCAGAGCCCAGTAGCTCCTCAAAAGCAGGTTCTCTTGTTTATTTTTTCATTGCTAGCACCAGAACAGTGTGAACCATATCAGGCCATAGTTGTTGAGTGACTTTTCAAGAACCGGATTTAATTCTGGCTTGGTTTTTTGTTCATCCCTTAATCAGTGCTTATCAAATACCCAGGACCACTCAGCAAGTGTTTATCAAGCATTTGCTCTGTGCCAGACCCTATACTATTTGTGTCTAATTAGCGGTGAAGGTGAACGGGAGCCTTGCCCTTGGGTACAGTTACAGTACAGTACTCGTATGCTATGATGGGGCACACAGGAAGGACACTTGAGCCACAGTAGATTGGTGGGTGGGACAGGACAGGTTTCCCAAGGGAAGTAAAATCTAGCTAAAATCCAAGATACCATTAGGAGCTAACCACTTAAGAGAGCGGCTAAGTAACTGAATTTTCATACTACTTCAAATATCTTTTTCAAGAAAATGCTCAGTGGTGCCTGGAGGAACAGTTAAGCAGGAAGAGGCAGGAGACAAACTCACTAGTTTCCTCAGTAACACCTTCTAAACCTTTCCCAGGGTTTCACCATCACAGCCCTGAATTCCAGGTGCTCTCTTCTGAGGTTTGCCTGTCTTTTAAAAGGGAGTGGATCAAATAGGTAAATGGTCAGGCCCTCTCCCAAGGCCCAGCCCGACTCTCTGAGTTCTCCCTCCATATAGCTGTTGCTTCTGGCAGCTCAGTTTCAGAGGGTTGTCTTTCCTGGACATAATTTTAGGGGCAAGGAAGGTATTTCCTCATTCCTTATCTGTCTTTACTACCCTTTCCTCCCCCTGTCATCCAGCATGTCCTCTGGGCCAGGCCCCATTCCCTGGAGTTAGAGAGATGAGTAAGATTCAGGCCTTGCCCTCCAGCACCTTGTAGCCTAGTGCTGCCTCTGCTCTCATCTCTCCTCTCCTCTCCCAGGCTCCTGGAGTCCATGATTCCTATCAAGATGGTCAACTTCCCCCAGGTGAATAGGAGGTGATGTGGCTGGAGCTGGGGGAGGCACCAGGGCAGAGGGTGGGGCCACCAGGCACAGCCTGGGAAGGCATAAACAGAAGAGCCATTGTACCCTCCAGCCTGAATGAGTTGGTATATTGACAGAAAATCGCAGGTGAACTCTACGGACCTCTCATGCTGGTCTTCACCCTGGTTGCCATCCTCCTCCATGGGATGAAGACATCTGACACCATTATTGTAAGCAGGACAGAGGACTTTGGGGGGGTGGCTAAACTAGGTTGAAAGCTGCCCAAGGACATGGTGGTGGCGTGAAGCAGGAGCAGCCCCTGGGGAAAGTCCTGGGTGAGGCTGAGATCACAGGCCTCCCAGGACTAAATCAGAGCCTTCACCCCACAGCGGGAGGGCACCCTGATGGGCACAGCCATTGGCACCTGTTTCGGCTACTGGCTGGGCGTCTCGTCCTTCATTTACTTCCTCGCCTACCTGTGCAACGCCCAGATCACCATGCTCCAGATGTTGGCACTGCTGGTAAGGAGCCAGGCATGGTAGTAGGCAAGAGCGATCTTAAAAAGAAAAGCCAGTCCTTGGTCTTCATCTGTCCTGGGTGCCCAGAGCCTGGAATGGGAGGAGCAGGCCAATGGACCATCTATTTCCCAGGGTCCCCATGAGGGGCCAGAGGCCAGCCCAGAGCCTGAGTGATTTTCCTCTCCACCATCCTCCTTCCCAGGGCTATGGCCTCTTTGGGCACTGCATTGTCCTGTTCATCACCTATAACATCCACCTCCATGCCCTCTTCTACCTCTTCTGGCTGCTGGTGGGTGGTCTGTCTACCCTGCGCATGGTAAGCTGGACGAGAGGTTTCCAGGGGTGGGCTGTCCTCCCAGGGAGCTGGGGAAGACAGCCTGGAGCTGTCCACCCCACAAAGGGCTCTAAATGGGAGGGAAGGGCCCAAAGATGGTTCTGCCCTGGGTGGGAGTGTCTTCTCCCCACTTCTCACTTTGGAACCAGGCCCTCTGAGCTGTATTTCTGTGGCCCTAGGTGGCAGTGTTGGTGTCTCGGACTGTGGGCCCCACACAGCGGCTCCTCCTCTGTGGCACCCTGGCTGCCCTGCACATGCTTTTCCTGCTCTATCTGCATTTTGCCTACCACAAGGTGGTAGAGGGTAAGTGGCAGGAAGGCCAAGTTGGGGAGAGGGAGAGAACAGCTGCCTAGGGCAGGGGGCTGGATGAGATGGCCTGTGGGCTGGGCCCAGCCAACTCTTACTTACCTCCGTCTTCCTTCTTCCAGGGATCCTGGACACACTGGAGGGCCCCAACATCCCGCCCATACAGAGAGTCCCCAGAGACATCCCTGCCGTGCTCCCTGCTGCTAGGCTTTCCTCCACCATGCTCAATGCCACAGCCAAGGCTGTTGCAGTGACCTTGCAGTCACACTGACCCCATCTGAAACCCTTGGCCAGCCTGCTCTCCCCCAGCTGTGGAGTGGAGGAAGATTAAAGGACAGTACTGATGACATGTGTCTCTTTGATGAGGGCTGCAGCTGCCACTCAGCTGTAGCTGCTTAAGAACCTCCTTGACGCCTGTCGGGGCTTCTGAAGGGCACAAGGCCAGGAACTCCTGACCAGGACTGCAAGGCTGTGCAGCCAGTGCAGAAAGTGGGTCAGCTCCTCTGAGGCCCCTTTACCACCTACCCCTTCCTTCCTCTTTCTCTCCCACATTGTCTTGCTAAATATAGACTTGTAATTAAAATGTTGATGGAAGTCTGGAACTGCAGCTACCGATCCAGTGGTCCTCCCTGTCACCCTCCTTCCTGTACACTTTCCTGTTTTTCTGTCAGCAGTGGTAATGTCACATGTTCCCCTTCTTTATCCCATCACTTAGCAAGATGAAGATGGGACAGGCCAGACTGCATAGAGGGCAGTGATTAAATGTGGAACCTGCCCCTGAGGGCAGGGGAACCTGACCCATGGAGTGGCAGGGAGGCCTCAAGCACAGGAGCCATGAGCCTGTTGGAACAGTGTACTCAGCTTGAGACTGGGCTCAGTTGCACTCCTGGGAAGCCAATGGAGCAATGACAATTGGACAAAAACTTCCAGACTTAAACCCCATGTCGTTACAAGGACGTTCTGCACCTGGGCGGTGGTGGGGATAGTTTTCCTATGGGGCTCACATTTGAAGCCAAAGTTAACTTTGCCCTGGTTGTGCTGGGCCGGCTCCCCTCAGTTTGTCTCTGCCCTCGGTCTTCAAGAGTGCTGTTTTCTCTTAAAAACAACCCTCACCCCCTCTTTAATCTGTTTCATTTAAGAGTTAATTCAGGTGGTTATTAGAGGGAATAGGGCCTTTGGCCTCCCTTCACTACACTTGGTATATTTTTTTAATTCTCTCATTACCCTAGTAAATCTGGGTCAGCAGCATCTGTCCCTCCTAATATAGGGACTGACAGGTGCCGTTCATTTGCCCTGTGTCCTACAGGTGAAGCCGGCACCACGCTAGCCAGTGGACGGCACTGCCTGCGCTGTGCAGTGTGCTCCCGCCGATTTTACACGGTCCTCACCGTCCCCCGGGGCCACTGATCCTGGCACCCTTTATACTGGCCACCCCAGCCTCGCTGGCACTGAGACCATCTCAGGGCATCAGCAGTGCCCTGCGCACCTGGGGAAGGGGCAGCAGCAGGACCCTGCATCCACCTGGGGCTCACGTGCCCCAGGGACCCCTTTGGGGTTCCCTTGTCCCTAGCCCCTCAGGCCGGCTTTAAGCCGTCGCCCTTGGAGCACCCGGGTGAGGTCGCCATCTTAGCGGGGAGGAGGAGGGAGTCCTCGGCGGCCGGAATCCCCGCGCACGCTGCACCTCGCGTCACGGGGGCGTGGCACGGATTACAGGGCTCTAGGGACTTCCAAACGAGAGGGGGCAGTGCCTGGGAGCCCGGCGAAGGCGCTCAGGGTCTGGACCTTAGGAATGGGGAAGGACGGCAGAATGGGCAAAAGAACCGGTAACAGTGTCAAACGCCATCTCCACGTGACGTGCCTCCACTCCCCCTCACTATCACCCCTCCCCACCCCCCGCCCGTCCTAGGCCTCAGCCCTGCTACCTTCTTTCTGCCCGCTGCGTGGCCCCACACCCCGGGGCTGAATGTCCACGGCTCCGAGCTCCTTGCCCGGAACCAGGCGGTGTGCGCGAACCTCGTGGGCCAGCGTGGCCGCGGCCGGGCAGGGGGCGGGGCGCGCGGCGGTGACGCGGCCGTTGCCATGGGAACCCACCGCCGGCTCGGGCGCAGGAGCTGAAGCCCGTGCAGCAGCCCGCTTCGGGCTCTCCGGGCGAGCCGTGCGGCCAGGCCCCACTGGCGGCAGAGGGAGCCAAGCGAGAGGCAGGAACGGGGCGGGTGCAGCCCCGGAGCAGCGACCGGTCCCGCGGATCCTAAGCTGAAGACCCCGAGCAGCCGCCGGCGCCGCAACCGCGAGGAACAAGGACAAGCGCGGAGCAGCGCCGGCCCAACACCCGGATCGCGCGCCCAGCCCGCCGCCCAGACAGCACAGTCCGCCGCCGCCCCAGCGCCGCTCGCCTCAGCCCGGTCCGCGACCTCTAAGCTCCGCACCCCGGGCCCGCCCCGGCGCCGCAGCCTCTGCCTCAGCCTCCGCCCCGACTCCGTCTACGACCCCAGCGCGGGCCTTGACCCCGGCCCTTCTTGAGGCCCCGCCAACCTCCGCCCCGGCCCCGGGCCCGGAGGCCCAGCCGTGGGCACGATGCTGCCCAGCTCCATCCAGATTTCGGGAGAACCGCTGTCAGGCGCCGAGGTGCGGGACATCTGCCGCGGCCTGCGCGACAACGCCGTGCGCCTGCTCTCACTGCGCGGCTGCCGCCTCTGCGACCGCGACTTCGGCCGCATCTGCCGGGCCCTGGCCGGGGCCACGTCCCTGGCGCAGCTCAACCTTAACCTGGGTGTCGTGTCCAGCCCCAGCCGCATCAAGCAGCTGGCGGAGGCGCTGCGGACCAACCGCTCCATCCAGTCCCTCTTGTGAGTGCGCCCCCTCGCAAGGGGGTCCCGGGAGCCGCACACCTCCACGCACTCCCCCTGCCACCTCCTGTTCCACACACCTTCCAGTACTGTCTTTCGACCAGCCCACCTCCGCACGCCCTATACACACTCCTCATCCCTCGGCCGCTCTCCACAGCACCCTCCACGCGCACGCCTCATCTCCAGACTTTCTGCACGCGACCCCGCCCGAGATGGGATACACCCCGCTTCCTGGCAGGGCATGTCGTGCCTCCCCGCCTAATCACCCGCATTTACTACGCTGGGGCAGCTGCTCCATTCCCAAGAGGGAATACCCCTGTAGCTCCGTCCCTACCTTCTGCCCACGGAATTCCAGTCCACCCACACACCCATTCTCTGCCCCTCCCTGTGCAATGTCCTGGATCTGAGTCCCTGCCCCCAATTCCCCTTCTACCTGTATTCCCTTAGAATCTAGAATGTTCTTTCTCCCTTCCCGTGCCTCTCAAGTGCTGTGACTGAGTGTCCTCCCTGCCCCTAGGACTTACATAGGTGAAAGTGCCCCTTCCCCGTATACATAGGACTGATGACAGCAATAACTCTGCTCTCTCGCCTCTGCTCACCCGCTAGCCTGCATGGGAGCCCCTTGACAGATGCGGGGCTGGCCTTGCTGAACCCAGCCCTGGCACTCCACCCTGCCCTTGTGGCTCTGGACCTGGGGGACTGCATGCTGGGTGACGAAGCCATCAACCTCATCTGTGGCCTCCTCCCCCCAGACGGGGCCAAGTCTGGTGAGCGGGGCCCTGCTGAGGGCATGGGCTGGTGTGGCCTTGATGAAAAGTTAAGTGCAGAGGGAAGGGGCGTGGCCCAGAGCCGAGCGCTCTGAGGGTGTGGATGAGAATGTGTCTTGCTCCTCTCAGAAAGGAGAAGGATGGGTGGGCTGAGAGGGTGGAGACTCAGGAATCCAGGCTGGGGCAGGCAGGGGAGGCTTGAGTCCTTAGTGGCTCCAGAGCTCTGTGGTGGGGATGGAGTGACTCCCAACCACTAGGGACACCCAGGGACATGGGGACAGCGGGGAAGGGGCTCAAGGAGGGTCTGACCCTCCACATTCTGGCTTCTCTCTATGATGCTGCCCAGGCTTGAAGGAGCTAACACTGAGTGCCAACCCTGGAATCACCCCTAAGGGCTGGAGCCGCCTTGCCATTGCTGTGGCCCACAGCTCCCAGGTCCGCGTCCTCAATCTGGACTACAACCCCCTGGGTGAGGCTCAAGAATGGCCTTTGGATTCTCACCACCCCATGCCCTATCCAAAGAGCCTGGGACCTTCAGTTGCCACGGTAACCTCCATTCTGGGGAAGGGAAGAGGAAGGAAAGCTCCTAGGGGGTGTAGGAGGTGGTAAAGGAGCCATCCTGTGTGGAGGACCAGATGACCAACAGGTAGATGAAAGCACCAGTCATCATCCCTGGGCCTGACTTGCTTCATCCCTTCACTCCCACCAATCACAATGCTCCACTCCTGGCCACCCACCAATTGTGTTTCCCCGCCAGGAGATGGGATCTAAGGTTGTTAGGGTAAAGGAGAAGCTGTTCAGGAGGAAGGGTTAGCTGGCCTCTGTGAACACAGGTGAATGTGTGGGTGTGTGCTCTCTCTCCAGGTGACCATGTGGCAGGGATGCTGGCTGTAGCTGTGGCCTCTAGCCGTACCCTAGAAGTCCTAGACTTGGAGGGCACAGGGCTCACCAACCAGTCAGCCCAGGTGAGAAGTCATCATGTTTGGGGACAAGCCAGTAGATGGGGTGGAGGTTAGCCTATGTGTCTGTAGACATACCCAACGGGTGGCAGGTTGGGGGGTCTGAAACCCTGCTTTAATGGTGTTCATCCTTTTCCAATATCTTCCCCACCCCAGACCCTGCTGGACATGGTAGAAAATTATCCCACAGCTTTGCGGAGCCTGGTGTTGGCTGAGAACAGCATTAGCCCAGAGCTGCAGCAGCAGATCTGTGACCTCCTCTCTGAGGGGGAGGAAGAGGAGGAGGTCACAGGAGGGGCTGGTGACACCCAGGAATGGGAGAGAGGCCGGGAGCCTGCTGCCCACCAGAGGGGCAGTACCTCCTGGATGTGCCCCAGCGGTAAGAACCCAGAGGGTTGATCACAGCCAGGTCTGGAAGAGGCTTGGGACAAGGGAGAGTGGGTGTTGGAAACCTAGCCCATCTCTCACCTATTTGTGGTCCCCCGTGGAGGAATGAATAGTGGTCTGAGCATCCCTCTGCCCTTCCACAGATCCCAGCTCTCAGATGGTGCTAATGACGTCAGGACTAGGGGACAGTCTGTTGGCTGAGACCGAGATGTGACTCTCCACTTGACCTTCTGCACGTCATTACATTTGTCTAGTCTCCAGCACCTCACCCCAGATACCAGGGTCAGGCCCTGGGCCTTGAGAGGGATGGGGGGGCGGGGGTTGCCAGGGGCTCTGGCAGCTCCTGGCAGTGTGATGGGAAGGAAGCTCTGGACGCTGTGACTGGGCAACAGCTTTGGGGGGCACTTGAACCCAGGGCAATGCCTCTGGACTTGTTGGCAGCTCTAGCTGCAACCCGCTGGCTCGGAAGAGATTTTATGAATTCCACAACCTGGTGTGTGGCTGTAGTCACTGGGACTGGCAGTAGGGGAGGAATTGGAACTACCGTCAAACACCACTAGGGGGCAGTATCATCCCACGCATAGCCCAAGCTCCAGGCTGTGTGAACTGGTCCAAAATTTCTCAGAACAGGCCTGGCCCAGTCTGGGGCAACACCTTCCACAAGCCCCGTAAAGATCATAACTAAAGAGTTCAGCTCCAGAGCTGGGCTGGACCGGAGCCTCCCTCTAAAGGTAGACTCAGGGGCCCTGCTCAGGTTACTGAGGTGCCCCCTCTCCCACTGCCTGATGCTCTGTGCCCAAGGAAGCCCCAGGCAGAGTGGGGCAAGGGGGAGTCACTGGCAGACTAGGGTAAGACTCGGACTGGGAATACTCAAGAATGGGGAGAAGCGTGGGAGAGGGAAGATCATGAAGACAAATTAGGCCATACCAGTAAAATAGTTTTATTTAATTTTAAAATAGTCATCAATGTGAAAATTTCCCAAAGCTGGGAGTAACAGTCTAGAGCCAAGGTTGGGAGGGGAGCCAGGCCTCACCTAGAGCCCAGCTTGAGGCCCCTAAATCCCACCCTCCCTTCCAGAGGGAGGGAGGAAACAGCTGAAGGGAGCCCTGAGTCAGTCCTCTCCCTTATCTATCCCCAAGGGCCAGCTGCGCCACGCCCCTTGTGGGCAACAGCTCATGGAGAGGATTTTGGGAGAGAGGGAAACAGGCAGAAAACAGGAATTAGAGGTTAATGACCCCAATGACCCCCCCCAAAAAACAAACAAAACTCATGATTATGAAAGGAGGATGGAAGATGAACACTGATACACCCCTCAGCTTCCCAGAACAGCCCAATCTGGGCTGCGCTGACTGGAGGAAAGAGCTTGAGACCCAACTGCATGTTACCTTTGAAGAATAAATATTCCAAGAAGACAAGGGAAAAACCATGAGGCAAACCGTTGCCAGTCACAGTCAACGCAGCTGAAAGGCCTGGCGTGGCCCACCACCTCACCCAACCCACACAGGGACAGAGCTGTGCAAGTCTGAGAGGGAAGAGTTCTAGGGCTGGGGACCCTGAGCTGCAAGGGTGTGGGGCCTCCTTGCGGTCCCAGTGCAGCAGTGGCAGGAAGGCAAGCAGGGGCCCTAGTTGAGCAGGTTGCCCTGCTCCTGGGCCTGTGTCAGGCTGTCCTTGCGGTGCAGGTGGTGTACCCCCATTCTCTTGGGGCTGCGCTGGGGGCGGCTGGAGCTGGGGAGTGGCCAGGCCCTTCCCTCAGTGTGGGAAGTGCTAGGCCCCTCCTCTGTGCCACTATCACTGGGTAGCAGGCTCTGGCGCTCTTCCTCAGGGCTGATGGGCAGGTTCAGCTCTTCCTCCTCCTCCTCCCTGGGAAAGCCAGAGTCAGGTTCCGTGGGTAGCAAAAGCCCACTCTCACTGGCTACGGAAGAAAGTGCCTGAACCACCTCATCTCCGTCAGTGGGGCTAAGAGCAAAATGGCGCTGCAGCTCAGGGAGTGCATCACATCCAAAGGCTGTGCGCTGGGCCACGGCAGCAGGTGGCGGAGTGCGGTCCACAAATGCTCGCTGCCAGCTGGCCAGCAGGTCCTCTTCAGAGCTGGCGGAGCTGGCTGGGGCACTGAGCGTTGGGGGGGCAGGGCTGGGCTGGTGGTGGGGTGAGGCCTGGGCTGAGGCAGGGCCACTGGGCACTGGGCTGGGGCGGGCCCGCTCACTCCCCTCCTCCACCAGGCTCAGTGAAATGGCCTGGCGGGTAGCGTAAGTGCAGTTGGGCAGGGGACTATTGCGGGGGATCCGAACCTTATCCTCAGAGAACTCTATTACCCTGCGGCCAGGATACAGTGGGTGCGGCGGAGATGGGGTGGGGTAGGGGCTTAGCTTCTCAAAGGCCGGCAGGGGCAGCTCCTCCTCTGGGGAGCCCCCTGCAGTACCCAGAGAGTGGCACTCCCCATTGGGTTGTGGGGGGGGGCTGCCAGGGGCCGGGGGACTGGCTGGATCTCCTGAGGCACCCCCACTCATGTCCACATGCACAAAGACATCCTCAGCCAAGGGGCGCCCAGCACTGCCCGACTGTGCTGAATTGAGCAGTAGAGACTCTGGCTTCTCCAACACCCGGGCAATGACTGAGGTAGGCACCACAGACCCTGGGGCCAGGCTGGGAGCAGGGCCTGGGCTGGCAGCCTCTTGACCATTGTGCAGATGTTTCCGAACCATGTCCTGTAGCTCACAGGGCAGCTGAAGTGAAGGAGCAGGAGAAGGGAAGGGACATAAATGGTCACACCTGGAGACAGCTTGACTCACGGCAAAAATAATGGCTACTATGTTCAAGTACCACTGTGTTCTCACTGCGTAACCTCATTTCACAGATAAACAGGCTTGGTGGGGGTAAAATAACTTGAAGCTTTTGATTAACACAGCCAGGATTTGAACCCAGACCTGCTGCTGCTGAGACCTGTGTGCTCTCAAACTTCTATTTCCCCCACCTCAGCAGTGGCTTCCGCCCAAACCAGACTTAAGTTTGGAGAATCTGTACTGACTAGCAGCCTTAGAAATACCTCTACTTCTACAGGCCGCATCAACCTTGGGCCTGAGGCTCTGGGGTCTAGAGTGTGCCCCCTGGGGGAAGAGGATCAAATGGGCCTAATCCTCTCACAGTATGCTATGGCTTACAGCTCCGGCCATTCCCTCTTCAGGATCTTCCTGCATGGGATCCTAAAATTGAGTCCCTCTCTCCCTGTCTCTTATAGAAACACCAATGGGTTAGCCCCGGAGCACTAGCGATGAGCCCTTCACAGCATACAGGACACCAACCAGTGGCAGAGCTGACTGGCTTAAGAGGCAACATGGAGGCAAGAGGAAGGCGAAATGGAAAGGGGGCAGTTAAAGGCAGGAGGATGGAGGGAGGTGCAGAAACTGGAGTTACAGGAGTCCTAAAATCGCTGGAATAGTGGGTGGGGAGTGTGTGTTCTACTCACATCAGCAAACTTGTGGTTACGGAAGTGGGACTTGTTGCACTTAAGGAGCTGCACAGCCAGGTTGCAGTCCAGCCGGTACCGCTCCTACAGATACAGACCTGGTTCAGAGCCCAGCCAGGCCTTGCCCAAGGGAGCAGGGTGGGGCCGGGACAAAGCCGGCCATAGGCAAGGAAGGCCCGAGCCCGCGAAGTGCACATACGTTGAGCTCCTCCAGCTTGTTGATGGTGTTCTTGGCATCCAGCAGCTTGTTGGTCAGCTCCACGATCTCCCAGTCCAGTGTCTTCCTATCCATCTCGGCCTTCTTGATCTGAGGCACAGACTTGTGGTAAACCCAGCCCATACCCCAACCAGCCCTTCCTCCCCTGCCTCTGCCCAGCCCAGAGACACAGGAGGCCACAGGTGCTAGGGCAGCCAAGGCAGACAGACTAGAGACAATGACGGACAGACAGAAGGAGACCAGGAACCTCTCCTGTTCTCCGGGCTGGCTGAGGAGGGAGGGGGAATTTTCTGACCGTGACCTCCTGCCATCTGGGCCCAGGACAGAAGCAGTATTGGAACTGCCCATCCCTTCAGGGGATTCCAGGGGCTCTAAGCACCAGGCCAGGGAGCTGGTTCCTCAGAGGCAGTAACTGCAACCCAGGGGGCTGAAGCCTATGTGTGCAGCTGTTTCTAGAATTAGACTAGGAAGACAGAGAAGGGAACAGGGCTGGGTGGCAGCCAGGGGCACCTGTGAGGTTATCTATTCAAGCAGGGAGGGAGCTACAGGTTCAAAAGTAGCTTTCTGATCTTTAGCTCAGGAACTGGATCTGTAGCCTCCCCTCCCGCACATAGCTTGGGTTTGCTGCCACTGCAACTAGAGCTGTGAGTGTTCAGTAGTGACACCAATCAGTACCTCTGCTAGAGCTCCCAGCTCTCTCTTGGGAGGGAGGCACTGACTATTAAATGGGCCTCACACAGGGAAGAGGAAAGGAGAGGGTGTACTCAGGTGTACTTGAGGGGCAGAGGGGAGTAACAATCCCAGATCTCAGCTGAGGAGGAGGCCAGGATAAGGGAGAAAACACACAAACTCAGACGCAACTGCAAAAATCCAGCTGTGGCTAAGGGAGGCCTGAGAGGAGAGTGCGGCAGCAACGGTGGCAGCATGAAGGGGAAGACGAGGAGAGAAGAGAAACAGTGTGAGCATTAAGACAGTTCTGACTTGCACAGCACACTGCGGTCCCCTCCCCACCACTGTCCCATCCCACTGTCTCCTCCCCAAGCCCCAGGGCAGAATGGCATTCCCCTGGCAGAACCTAGCCCACTGATACGCTGTGAGCACAGTACCAGCCAAACTGCCCTCCTGGACAGATTACCAGTGTGTGCAGCTTGTCCTCCAGTTCCTGATTGGTCCTCTGGGAAGCCGTGTAGCTATTCTGCAGCCTGTAAACGGATAAAAAGCAGACCCCTGGGTCAAGATCCTCTTCAGACCCTGCTCAGCCTCTCCTCAATATTGGGGCAAGTTATTCTCCCCCCTCCCAGAACTTCAGTTTTCTAATCAGATCAGATGACCTCTGAGGCCTCTTCCAGCTAACCTCCTATGAATGGGGAGATGCATGCATGTGTGCGTCTGGTCCCTTATTCCCACACCTGCGGAACTTGTCCTTAAACTTGTCCAGCTCCTCGCGGCTCTGGCCCAGCTCCAGCTCCAGGCAGTCCTGCCCGATTTCCAGCTCACGCTCCAGGGCCTCAGTGCGTCTGGTGGCTGAGGCCAGGCGCCGGCGAAGCTCTTCATTCTCCTGCTGCAAGAGCCTGGCGAGGTGGGGGGTCAAGGGCAAGAGGTCATCAGAGATAGAAGGGCCAGCCTGGAAGCTCCAGGCTGGGCTCAGGGAGGAGGGAGTCAGGATGACATGAAGGCAGGCAACTGGGTGCAGGCAGATTCCTGGAGACGCAGCCTGAGTCTAGGGCAGCGTATTCCATAGGCCTGCTGGCCCTGAGAACACAGCCTGTGTTGGAGGGTGGGGGGAGGCAAAGGGGATAGTAGGGGACA